AATCTTTATCCAATAAAATGAAACCAAAAAAAAATTTTTTTTAAAAGAAATACTATTTGGACGGGCCTGATGTTATCAGGGGCAGGTTTTTGGATAACCTGTTTTCCTTGTGGGTCCCCTCTTGGAGAACCGTGGCCCCCAGCAGATTCTCCTCCAGGGAGAGAAAAAGTGGCACCCAGACCCTCACGCGATGCATACCGCAGCCAGAAGAGTGCCAGTCCTGGGTTGTGCAGACTGGCATTCAACCCGGTCCCCATGCGCATAAGCAGCCGGCAACCCCAAAACATATGGTGCAACTTTACATGGCTCAGAGTTACCTCCGCAGCATTTAGAATCCTGGCCCAGCCCAGCAGCTTCCTTCTGGTCGTTAGAAGTGATATATGTTAGGTTAGGTGGCTCAGGAGGCGGCGCAAGAAATAGAGACTCCAGTGAATCAGAAAAGAAAGGAAAGGAAAAGGTTTATTCTGCGTCCCCGGGAGACCCACGTACCCCAAGGACAGGGCACGTGGATTCACGCCAACAGGGAGGGGGGCGCTTTTTTTATACTGCGGTTGGGTGAGGGGCGGGGACATGAGCTGAGGAATTCTCTGCTGCAGGGGATGGGCGGGGGTATGTGGATTAAGGGAGAAGAAGCCAGTATCTGTGTCTGGCACCTTGATCTGTGAGAAATTCCAGGGGGGGAGTCCATTATCTTGTCACATGTCTGCATGTATCCGATCCTGGGCTCTCTCCTCTCCCCTCTCCGACCTAACAATATAGTCACAGTTTTGACAGATGGGGGTGGGGAGAGCCATCTGTTACCTCCTGGCGTGTATATATAGCACAGCCGCTACACACAAGTGGTGTAGTATTACGCAATGAGATGAAACACGCACCATCTCGGGGACTGTGGCGTTTCCGAGATTTGGAAATGGCAATGGTAAGGGGCTTGCTTAGCTGGCCTTTCTCAGCCTGTATTTCTCTTAGCACAGTACCCAGGGCAGCTACTTGTAATGAAGGAAATCAGGGTGGCCTGCGGGAGGGGAGCTCTGGGCTGCCCCGCTCTGCGTCAGCTGCCTGCTCTCAGAGGCTCCAGGCGTATCTCTGAACCCCGCAACGCTCCTTTCTCTCCCCAGCACCACCCACCAGGTCGCTGCTCATCATTAACCAGGAATGTGTCTTCTCAGACAAGGTTCTGCTTTGTTAGTGTGGGTTCTTTTTCCTCCTTAACTCTTGATCAGTTCAACATTTTCACCTTTTAGAGAGAGCCTGAGGGTGCAGAGCACAGCCCCAGCCCACCCTCCTTCTCTGAATAGGGCTCTGCCAGCTGCACCCTGGGGGCACCAGGAACCCACTGCAGCCGTTTTACACATGTCAGAGAATTGGGCTTCAGAGCCCATAATGTTTTGGGGGCACATCCCATTCTAAACCCTTTTTGGCCCCCACAGATAATCAAGTGAATGTGTTTCCTTCACAGAGTATGTACTGGAGGTGGAGGAAGCCGGGAGGGAGGCAGCTGGGGAACAGGAAGATGGAATCAATTTTAGGATTCCAGTTTTGCTTTGGATGATCCTCAAGCTGAGGGACAGGTTCTCCCAGACGCCCCCTCTGCCACACGGGGGTCACTGACCTGGAGGAGGGCCAGATCCCCCCCCCTTTATTGAAAGGAAGGGGGTCTTGGACTACGAAGGAACAAAACTTTCAGCTCCTTTTTCTCATCTGGAAAGATGATCCCAAGGACAAATGCCAGCGTCTAGTCAGACATGGTATGACCCAACAGCATATATATATACAGCTCCTGACAGGAAGTCTTGGAAAGCACCAGACGCCTCACACCACCGTCTGCCCAAGAGGCATTGAAAGCTGCGAAACCTCCCTCCCTGGCAGTGAGGAAAGCATATGTGTCGAACATACACACACACACACACACACACACACACACACACACACACACAGACATGCACACACACTATTAAGAGTCACACTTGAATGTCAGCCTCCCCTTTTCCCTTCTAGTTCATGGCAGAAGGAAAAAAAAATGACTCTCCAGCTACTTAGGGTAATTTCTAATTTGGGCTGAAATAGGTTTTTAAACACAAGCCCTAAACGGGGATGGAGCCAAGGAGGCCGAGTGTCCAGGAGAGAGGCCAGTGTTGCTAAATCCTGAAGGGCGGGCTTCCGGAGAGCCATGCTTCCAGGATCCCTGTGACTGTCAGGCAAGCTCCTGAACATCCCCCCACCTCTCCCTGACACCCGCCGGAGTCTGAGTGACGGCTGTGGTCACACTGAAGGGACTGCACACCAGGCACACGTTCTCTAGGGCAGGGCCCTCTCACAGGGCCTAGAAATAAAGTGTCAGATTCATCCCTTTAAAAGAAGGAAAGATTAAAAGGCATCCAATTAGACGTGTCACCTAGGCAACAAGAAATAACTTGGGGATCAGAGCCATCCAGAGGGGGAAGGAGAGTTCCCCATGATAGAGGCATCTAGATCGTGAGGTCTTAATAGCTGGCAAATAGCAGCCAGCCTAGAGGGAGTGAGCCCCAGGGACAGTACGGAAGGCCTAAGACCCAGCTGGCAAGGCTCTTTGAGGTAGACGGGCCAAAGAGGTGTCCAGGTGGCCTCAGTGACCACACACGACTGCGCAGGATCCCATCCCCACCGAAGGGAACAGGACTTGCCTCCAGAAAAGAACAACTCAGAAGCCCCTTTGGCAGTCTTCTCTGCCAGCAGTGCTTCCTGAAGTCTGCCCTAAGATGCGCATGCCTCTGCCTTCGCTGTGTTCACTTTTCCTACACTTTGCCTTTGAAAGGAGGCCATTGTGGGAGCTTGGGCAAGCTTCTGAAGGAACCGTAGGGGTGAGGGGGCCGGAGTAACCCTTCCCTCTAAGCCACCTCCAGAGGAACACCAGTCCACCAACATCCAGGGCAGCTCAGGATCCAGCGGCACATGTGTTTTTGCCCATGTTCTTCTGGCCCCTCCCCCATCTCAGTACATCATTGTGGGTCACCTCAGGCCAAAAGGCTCCCCAGATGCCAGGAAATGCTTCCTGGGAAAAGCCAGGCTCCCAAGTTCAGGGGGATTACTGGAGCTTAGACCACACCCAAAGGGACTGTTTGACACCCTGCTTAAGGGTGGGTACTGAGAACCAGAGTCCTTGCCAAGCAGGGGTGGGGCCTCCCCATCATTCCAGGAACAGTGGCATTGACAGGGATCCCCTTCTTTGGTGCAGGTTCTTCAGAACCTCAGGGTAAGAGAGCGCCCCATTTCCTTAGATGCTGTGGCCTCTCCCACCATGTGGGGGTCTCCAGTTTGATCCACAGCTGTCTGCTCACTGCAGTCTACAACTTCCCCAGGCACCAGGAGTCACTTCCTAACCTTAGGCCCACACTCACCCCCTCCAATGCTGGGATGCTGGGGCTGAGGGGCAAAGATGGCATGGGCTCGTAAGGAGCCCTTGCCACCCTCTGTGGCCACTCAGAGGGTCTTGGCAAATAGCCGGGTCTTCTGACCCCAGACGGCTTGCCCGTGGGGCCCTTGCTTGCTAATCAGGCCGGGAGGCCAGGCCCCTATGTCCTCTGACTGAAGCCAGAGCCTCCTGGCCTGGAAAAGGAGGCTGACATCTCGGGCAGTCTCAGGCACTCAGCTTGTGGACAATGCCTGACAGTCCTGAGCATTTGCCCAGGAGCCTCACACATCACAGTAACACACACACACACACACACACACACACACACACACACACACACCAGCCTTACAAAGAGCGGCTAGCTCCATTCCCCAAGGAAAAATCCTATTCTGTATCACTTTAAGAAGAAAGATTTCCCATTTTTAACTCCCCGGAGATCTAGAGCCTGGAAAATTCTTCTCTGCCTGGGGGAGTTCCACGCACACGTTGCATGAATGTGTATTTTACACAGAAGCCAGCGCACAAACCCAAGTCAAGCCCTGGCAAATAGCTGCTGAATTCACCCAGGCTCCTGCATTCCTCAGCCAGGCCTCCTGGCAGGGGCCCTCTTCCTGTGTGCTGTGGGGTGAGGGGGACTGAGTTCTCATGGCCAAAGGAGCCCCGAGGTTCTGGGGAACGGGGGCTGAGGGCAGCCCACAGAAAGCTGTGGGCCAGGTGGCTTCATCTTACTGTAACTTTTTACATTCTTTTAAAAAAGCACAATTCCACATGCACACAGTCTGGAAAGCACATCCGGACAGAATGCTTAGGGCACTGCCGAGTCCAGAAGAGGCTGCTGGGGCCTCTTTGTTGCAGTGGTTATATAACACGCTCGCTCCATTCCCTGGGGTGGGGAGGGCTGGAGAGCTGCTG